AACAAAACAAAAAGCGCACCCCTAACGGGCCACACTTTTTCAAAAAAAAAAACTATTATCACGAGAAAAAGGTATCCAAGAGCCCGAAGAGGTACACCTAAAAATCCCTGCAGCACCGTATGCGTGCCAAAAACTGAACTGCACGTCCGTCCCACCGTTCGACTACAGTAGCATCATCCCCTCCCCGCCCCACTCTATACCAAAACGGAAGATTGCCGACTACAGCATACTGCTGTCTGAAGTGCTNTCGTTCCACATTGAAAGGGTCTTCCACGATCAGGCACACAACCAATGCACCCGGGTTAGCCACGCCATCTCTGACGGGTCTCTCTACAAAACCGGTGATGATGTCATCACACAAAACTAACACGGAAAGTCAGAAAAAAACGGGAAAAATTGACAACACAAATAGAAATGTTTTTCCGTGCGCCACGGGTCGATGTCGCCCGCATGCTCTATGCACATGTTAATATACTTAATTCAAATTGTCTTGTCCGGAAAATTCCAGGGAAATCATTTCTCTCTCGGCGCACCACAAGCCGCCATCATCATTTCGCCGACTTGGAATTAGACACGCCGGTATCCTCTCTCGGCGCACCACAGGCCAGCATTTCCAGGTCTGCCATCTCGTTCTTAGCTCTCCCTGTCACTTCAAGTGCAATAGACCGAGGCCTTTGCCGCTGTCTTTGGTCCCTCTGCACCCAGTGCTTTCGGGCCCTGCACTCCCAGTCAGTGCTTCAATCAGTCAGGGCTCCCGTCTGGCGCAGCATTCTGCACCTCGCAAGCTCACTCCCTCTTTGCACTCATCGATCAGCAGTCATCCCCGCATGCCCGGCAATTAACCATCGTCTTTGCTGTCATCCACGTCATCACCCATGCGTTTCCGCCAGCAGACATCCCTTTCTTTCCGTGTCCCTCTCTCATTCGCTCTCTCTCTCACGCCCTCTCTCTACTCTCCTTCCTCTCATTCTCTCTCATGTGTTACATACAGCAGTAGCAGTCACCTGCTCCGTAGGCCAACAACTCAGTCGCTCGGTGACACTCAACTCGTTTCAATCAGTAATTTTGTAGTCTACAGTCATCCAATATAGCTCAAGTCTCGATGAAATCCATTTTTGTATGTTCACGAACACACAGGATTCATGTGTCCGCACACACAGTGGAATCCACGGAGCAAATCCATGTGGTGTACGCACGCACGCACAGGAATGCACGAAGAAGCGGAGTTTATTCGATCTTGAGTCGTCGTCGTCAGGTCGTCGCCTGTGCAATTGCAAGATATCCGCTCCAGGATACAAAAACTATGGGTGACACTGCTTCTCGACGCCGCCCGCACACGGTCGGTTGCACGCATGCGCCCCTCACTCCCCAAGCTTTCCCACATCACCCTCTTACCCAGCCTTCGGTGAGTAACTCTCCTGCTCTTCTTTTTCGTAGATGTCGGAAAGGCGCAACAAACTTCTTTCAGACGGTTGCCTCTCCTGACAGTAAGCGCCAAGTGCAAAACTTCCGACTACGTATTTGGGGAAGTCCTCGGGAAGGGTGTAAATACCTCCTCGGGCTTGTGTACCCTTTTCTTGCTAATAGTATGCGTGTTCTTTAGAACTTGTGATGGCTGCGGCATTTTTGTGACTACGGACCGAGTCTTTGCTAGATTTTGGGATTAGCAACTGACACGAGTTTAATGTTAAGCAAAACAACAACAAAGGCCGATTGTGACGGGGCCGACGTGACCCGTTTCTGCGCGACCTTCGACGGTTGCACGAAATGCGCCAAGAACGGCTGTAAGATTTCCGTGCCATCACTGGCATCTCCCCGCATTTCCTACCTAGACTAGTGGACATGATCATAGGGGTAACCCAACATCGGGAAAGCACATCACACGCAAACAACCACGTGACAAATTCCTCTCGGGACCGGTGAAAAGCTACGATATTGTAGACATTCATTCAGCATGAACCTCGAAATGCGCGTGACACAACCATCATTTCCTGGAATCCCACGTCTCATCAGTCGTGTCTCCATGCTGGCGAGTTTCGGATTTACGTATTGAAAAGTTCACGTTCACTCTTTAGGGAAAATAGCCAGTTTATGGCCGCCATACTAGACCCCGAGTGGGGGGAGTTTTTTCCGCGCGCACCATCACAACAGCATAACCCGTGCTGCGGAAAGTACCTGCAATAGGCTGGGTCGTGCGCCCCCCGTGAATATGTGTTGCATTTGTTTTGGTACACACACCCGAAATGTTGTTGATGCGATGTTTTTGATGCGAATCGTTGTTGTCAGCACTCCGTATGCGTTAATACGTGAAGAAGTAGAAAAATATGCCCCACCACTCAGAACACAGCAGCAGCAGAATATTTGAACTAGCACGCGAGTTGTCGCCGATCGCGA